TGCTCGACGACGTTAACCTGTGTGGAAGAGGTCGGGAGAATCCACCAAGGATGTAGGACCTTTCCGAGGTTGTATGCCGGAGCCCTGCTCGACGACGTTAACCTGTGTGGAAGAGGTCGGGAGAATCCACCAAGGATGTAGGACCTATCCGATGTTGTATGTCGGAGCCTTTTCTCGACGACGTTAACCTATGTGGAAGAGGTCGAGAGAATCCACCAAGGATGTGAGACCTATTCGAGGTTGTATGTCGGAGCCTTTGCTCGACGACGTTAACCTGTGTGGAAGAGGTCGAGAGAATCCACCAAGGATGTGAGACCTATTCGAGGTTGTATGTCGGAGCCTTTGCTCGACGACGTTAACCTGTGTGGAAGAGGTCGAGAGAATCCACCAAGATCCTCCTGGGATTGATTTTGCCTTGATTGGGAGAGGGCGAATGCCATGTATATCCTTAATCAAAGGTTAAGAGGGGTCTATCTTTAGACCATTACTGCCTTTTTGAGGTTGAGATCAAGACCTTGCCCAAGGAGTAGAAAGTCCAGCAGGGGACTATATGAAGCTTACTATTGATGGGAAGTATCCTTGCATTTGCTGAGATTTTCCTGAAATATCTTATTGATATTTGAAATATTGGAGGGAACTTCTTGACCATAGTCAGAGTTAAGGTTGCCCCCCTGTCCGCATCTGATTCTTATGAAATTGATGCAACAATGAATGATGTCAAGAAGTTGATAAGGGCGATCTTTTGAGATTGGAGCAATAATTATCCCCCAGTCGGGAATCACTTTCCCACAGACGGCGCCAACTATTGCGGGCTAGAAAATATACGGCGATAGAGATTTAATTCTGTGTCTTAATGTTGCACGGATAACTAGCTCACACGCAGAGAACACAAGATTTTTTATGTGAAAAACCCTTGAAAAGGGGAAAAAACCACGGGGCCTAGCCCAGTTGAAAATGATTCCACTAGAATTTTGAGTCGGTTACAAAGGACTGAAATCACCTCCAAGGGTGTTCAGATTACAACTAGTAACTGTTTGAAAGGAGTCAGGTGTTAGACCCAGTGTCACTTGGAAGATCGGGTGTTGATAGTCTGGCCTTGAGTAGGACATCGGGTCTGAACGTCAGGCCTTAAGTAGGACATCAGGTCTTCAGCAGGACGTAGGGACTAAATTTCGGACCTTAAGCAGGATGTCGGGTCTGAACGTCGGGCCTTAAGCAGAACGTCGGGTCTTCAGCAGGACGTAGGAACTGAACGTCGGGCCTTAAGCAGGACGTCGGGTCTTTAGCAGGACGTAGGGACTGAACGTTGGGCCTTAAGTAGTGGTGCAATGAAACTCCGGCGAGGCTTCGGTGGTGGTTTGGCGAGGTTCCTGCGGTGGTCCGGCGAGGTTCCGGCGGTGGTCCGGCGAGACTTCTGCGGTGGTCCGGCGGCCATCGAGGATGAGCTCCTCCTTCTCTTCTTCCTTCTCTTCTCTTCTTCTCTCTCTTGCTTGGATCCTCTCTTGTAAATAATGAGGGCTCTATTTATAGATTTTCTAGAGTGGCATTGCCAGTAAATAGGCGTGAGATCAGGGGCGAATAGGGAGTGGTTGAATGGACGGCCGATATTGAATCCTACGATCGTGCACCGTTCGTTGGTCATTTGAGTGCCTCAGTGTGTCGGAATTCAGTGATCTTGTGCTCATTTGATTTGTCTCGTCGAGCCGTTCGATTCGAGTATAAGCTCATCAAAATCGGAGTCCGTTTAGTAACTCAAATTGTGGTTTGAACCATCCAACAACACTTCGGGTCTATGATTTGGACCCATTTGGGCTCGGATTGGGTCGAACTTGTTGTCGTTGGGTTCGTATTTCCGAGACGCTCAGTTTGACTAAAAATTTGCTGAAATCAGAATTGAGATGATCTCTGAATTAATTTTAGAAGTTTCCAACTCAAATTTTGCCTCGAGATTCATGCCCGATCAAGATAATTTTTTGACAATGTATCAATTATATTATTCAATTTAACCCCGATTCAACCTCGGTCCGATAGAATAATAAAAGCTATAGCCACAAAAATTTATTAAATATTTTAAAAATTGTAATAATGTACTTAGTGAAACTAATATAATCATAAAATTTGAAAAAAGTTATCAAAATAAGATAATTTAAAAATATTAAAATGGCTATAAGAGCTCTCTTAAGTTTACTCTTGTTGCGTGCTAGAATATACGCGGCAGTAGAGTTAGGAAATGTTCGTCTTAGCGTTGCACGAGTATTCCGCACACAAACAGAAAAGAGAAAGTGAACACCAAGGTTTTTACGTGGAAAACCCAAAAGAGGGAAAAAAGTACGGGACCTCGCCCAGTTGCAAAGTTCCACTAGTATTTGTTTGAAGTACACAGGTTGATCCGTCTTACAAATCAAGACGATCAATTTACAATGAACTTCTCACAAAGTTACAAAGTTCTGCAAATTCCCGGCGTTTCCCAAAAATCCGGCAGAGTTCTGGCGTCTTCAGGCGTCAGGAAGAGCTCCGGCGGTGGTCGAGGAGGTGAGGAATCTCCTTTTCCCCTTTCTCCTCTCCTTCTTCTCTTCTTCTTCTCTCTCTCCCCTTGAATCCCCTTGGTGTAGAATGAGGGCTCTATTTATAGTTTTTCTGGAGTGGCATAGCCCGTAAATAGGCGTGAGATCAAGGGCAAATTGGGAGTGGTTTGAATGGACGGCCGATATCGAATCCTTTGATCATGCACCGTTCGTTGGTCATTTGAAGGCCTTAATGATGTCGGAATTTAATGCTCTTGGGCTCGTTGGATTCGTCTCGTCGAGCCGTTCGATTCGAGTATAAGCTCGTCAAAATCGAAGACCGTTTGGTAACTCAAATTGTGGTTTGAACCTTATAACAATGCTTTGGACCCTTGATTCAGACTCATTTGGGCTCGGATTGGGTTGATCGTGGTGTCGTTGGGTTCGTATTTCCGAGACGCTCAGTTTGACTATAAGTTCGTTGAAATCGGAGATCGGGTGCTTCCAAAATTAATTTTTGAAGTTTCCAACTAGCTTTTGCCTCGAGATTCGTGCCCGATCAAGATCATTTTGCGATGTCGTATCAACTCTAAATTAGTATAATTAAAATTAGTTATAAATTTTATCCACCTAAAAAAAATTAAAGTCATTAAAACATTCTAATTAAAATTTAGTCACTATTTGTTTTTCAATTCTAGAAGGATTAATGGCCATAAAGGGTATTCTTGTAATTTAACCAATTAACTTCTAAAAATTCTAACGTTCTTCTAAATTAAAAAAAAAATCAAATTACTTCCCCCCAATTGCTCCACTTCTGCTCTTCTCGCTTAAACTTCTGCCCTTCTGTCTACTCATTTTGGAGCTCAAGTCGATCGAAGGGTAGAAAGAGAGTGCATATGTGTGCGTGTGAGATTTGATGGTGACTGCGCCCCAATTTTCGGCTTCAAGGGAGAATGAGGGAGTTGCATTGCCCGAAACCCTAGCTTCATGCGAGGGCTCGAAGACAATGGCTATAGAGGGAAAACGGAGAGCGGAGATTGACACCTCGGCTCCCTTTGAATCCGTTAAGGAGGCCGTAGATCTGTTCGGAGGGAGTGCCGTCTGGAAATCTCAGCTCAAGCAGCTCTTCCACCCTGGCGTGAGTATATCTTTTGGAGAAATTGTGCATTTTGTCGGTATTTGTGTCTTTTTACTGTTCATTTTTATTTTGAAAAGTTTAAGGATGTGTGTGTGTGTGTGTGTGTGTGTGTGTGTGTGTGTGAGAGAGAGAGAGAGAGATAAGATTGAGTCAAGCAGACCAATAATTATTTACAAGAAGGTTAAGCAGAGAGGTACTTGCTTCGTTGAGCTAGCTCTGGGACACTTTTATCAAAAGACAATCATTTGCCCCTCTATATGTAAGAGGTGTTTATTTATAGGTCCTAATGAAGAGCCATAGTTTCTTTCTTACATAACCGTTGACCCTCCACTTCAAAAAGAGAGCTTTCAATGCTCTAATGATTCTACCAGTTCAATGCAACTATAATTAGTTGGAGGATGTTGAATGTTCTGTCATTGTAACCACATGCTAGTTGTTATGAACATGCTAGCCGTGCTTGTTTTTACTGATCCGGTTGTAATTTTTATCTACACACTATTGTGTCTCACATAAACATCTTTGTAGGATGGTTCATTTAGTAAACCTTGTTCAATTTCTTGGAACTTGTTTGAGCTGAGTGACCTATTTGAGAAAGCAAATGGTCCACATATTTCTACCAAAGCACAAATGTTTTAGACATATGATGTGCGCTCCTATAGATGTTTAATGCATGGTGCTACCCAATTTTCTTTTTGAGCTCTTAACGAAGAAAAGATGCAGCTTCATAACTTTTTGACAAACTTGTTGAGATTTCTATTCACTACCTTCCTCTTATTGAAATGTTCTCATTTCCTTTTTCAAGGGATGCCAATTTTACAAGGCTGGCATTAATGATGCTCTTCGAGAGCAAAAGGCATCAACTTTAAGCTAAAATATTTTTGTTTGTTTATCATTTGTTGTTACAAGTGTTGGCAAGTTTTTCCACCACTTTAATAGTCTTTATAGAAAACTTGCACAAGTTTGTCCTCAAAAAATATTTGTGAAGGCCTCGAACTCGAATGAGGTTTCAATGATGCAATAGTTGCTACTAGAATCATTTTCTCTAAAGGACATTATAAAGACATATGACTTGCTTACCAATCATAAATATTAAAGATGACCTGCTGTCTTTTGAGGCGATGAATGGAGGAGGTGATGAGGTTTCTCCTAATGGAAATTGATTCAACAAAAGTGCATTATTAAGGTTTGGATAAGTGCTTGAAGTCGAGATGGAGGAAGTATCATGATCATAGGTTTCATGAACAACACAAATTTAAAGGAAACCAAGCAATAGGCTGACACCTTTTTGAAGAAAGCAACACATCATTAATTCTGAAGATCACTCCACGTTCCATACAAGACATAGACATCCAATACCCTCCAAAAATTGATGAAAAGCACAATAAAATTCTATCCAAAAGATGCAAAAGTTGGCCACTCTATTCTTGGATCAAGGGAGATTAAAAATTGATTGAAGATTGGGATTGCTCTCTTTACTTGCTTGCTTGGCTGAATTACAAGCATTCCTTTATTTATATTGTGTTATTTTCTTTCTTTGCTTGCTTTGCCATGTTAGCAATCTATGTGAAGTGAACTGGCCCAAGATAATTTCCAAATTAAGTGAAATTGAGCCACCCTTGGATTGAAAACCTTTGAGTCTATAAATATTAGTCATGTACTTTTATTTTGATTATTATTGAATGAATTTATATTTTCTCATGCAAAATTGTTGTCGAATGCTTAGTTGTAGCTCTACAACTTGAAGATTTATTGCGGTTGACCCAGAACTTTTGTACCTTGATGAGTCAAGAAAGTTATCCTTTAATTTGCCTAAAGCTCCCCCCCCCCCAAAAAAAAAAAAAAAAAAAATTTAAAAACCTAACTGGCTGCTACCACAAACCCTTACGTCAAAATCCTAAAATCCTAACTTTCTGCCACCTCAATCCCTTTCCAAGAGTCCCTTAGTTTCCCTCCTTCATACCAAAATCATTTAAACTCATCTCTAGGCTTGTGCTTCTCTCCTTCTCATAAACCATATCTTCCCTCTTTCCTTCTAAGCTGTCTCCTTTCTCCCAAAACAAACTCTTTCTAAATCCCTCTTCTTAATCTCCCCCATTCAAATATCAATTCATTCAACTCAATAACCATACAAAACTATCGTAAGAATAACCTAAGTCAAGAAATAATCCTAAACTCTAAATTATTCCACCTCCACCTTCCATATTTACTCTTTCCTAATTTGAACTGCCACCTCATCATCAAGCAAGCTAGCATCTTCATTATAAAGATCCTCTCTTTAGCTCACCATCAATAGTGGAGAAGAAAAATGTGTCAAGAGCTCTCCCAACAGAAAGATATATCAATCGACTAGGTGGACATCATGATTAACAATAATTTTTCTATCAAAGAAGAGGTTTAGGAGGCACTAGAGAAGCACGCAATCACTTTTGGTGAAGCTTCTTATTACTTTAGGAGATGTGGTCCTCGTTAAAGCCTTAAAAGGTTCCTTGCTGAGAACATTGATGCTTCTTCTAAGCAATAGAGTCTAGCATTGGAGGAGGAAGAATATGAGGGGGAGGAATCTCGAAAAAGTAGCCCTTATTTGACTTGGGTATGATTGGTCCAAAAAAAAAACTGTGTATGAGTTAAAAATCAAACTAAATATTTTAATGCTTCGTTCCTTGAACATTGTGTTTATGGCTCTATATGATTGATTCTTAAGCAAAAAAATGTATGAAAGAGCCTTGCTCACTATGATCTTAAGAAGGCTCTGCAAGAGTTGAAAATCCAACTAAAGATTTAAAGTTCGCTCGATGAACATTGTGTCCATGGCTCCATATGATTGATTCTCAGGAAACATAATGTAGGACCTAGCTACAATCAATATATTCAATAGGTTGCAGTCCCATGCATAATAATGGAGTCTTTGAAGGTACTTCATGCGCAAGTAGGAAGGATGGTCATGCACATGATTATTTTCCTGGTAACCACATCATTATCTAACTAATGTCTTCTAGATGGAAGTTAAAAATACTTGCACAAAGATCTAGTGGAGCTTGCTTGCTCCATTTTCGAAGTCTTTGTGTAGGAAACTGTTAGACCGGTTGCTGTTGGATTGGTCCAGCCAGCCCCTTGCCAAGGGCTGGCTCACGTTTATGGGAGGCGAGTAGCAAGAGAGATGGGGAGGGAGATGGGGTCCACTAGGGATTCAAATTCAAATAGTTTGAAGCTAAGGACAGGGCGGAAAGGGCTTACATGTAATTTGGCTCAATTGTTTAATTGTATGCTTTAAGTAGGAAGGATGGATTAGGGTTACCGTAATACTTGATTATTGTGGCTGATTTGGAGTCTTGTTCTTGGTGTCTTGGGCCTTAGCTTCGTTTAGGGATTGGGAGAGAAAGATCCCCCTCTCGATTAAAGGATCAATTGTGTATTGCTTTCCTTGTTCTGTTATTTTTTCCCTTACAATAAAACTACTATTTTTGTTGTGTTTTCCATTGGTTTTTGTGATGTTTCTTACTGTTTTGTCTCTATTGTTAGGGTTTACTTGATATCTTCAAGTATTTCCTAGCAGAAACCTGGTAGTCTAACTTTTAGTGATAAAATAGAAGGTCTGGTGGAGAAGTACCATTACCATTCCCAGCTAACAAATTTGTAATGATTCAATTTACCACCCATTGGTTGCAAGGGGATCCTACTTTAGATGTCTATATCCTTGCAATGTTTGTAACTAGTTGGCATGATGGTGATCTAGCTTCCTACCTTTTATATTAAAGTAGCGAGAGCCAAAGACAACAAGGCACTCTTGGTAGGCCTGCATGTCGAGATGAGTACTTCCATTGAACAGACTTCCATTGCCAGGATGCTAGGAAGTAATGAAAGAAAAAAAAAAAAAAAAAAAAAAAAAAAAAAAAAAACAATAAAATCATATGATTCTTTATAGTGTTTTGCTCATTGTTTGTGTTCGGTAGAATGTAATTTCTTTGTGAATTTTGGGCATTAAATTCTGATCAGTCAAGTATATTGCCTAGCATTAAGCTTACATTGTCTAGGATAGACATTGTTAATGAATAAGGAAAAAATTCTCATAATTGTTTTGTTTTGTTTAATTAGTCGTCATTATTATCTTGCTTGGATGAATCAAAACATAGGTGGCAGATGGGTTAGATCGTACAATTGTATGCATTTTTTTTTTTTTGTAGTTGAAACCATCGGAAGGGCCTACGCGTTAATATAAATAAATTAGTACAAGGTTCTTAAAGGGCCCTCAAGCTCCCTATTGCTCAAAAGAGGTACAAAAAAAACAAAAAAATCCTACGAGCTTGAGGTCCCTGCTAACAAAAAGTACAATATAACCTAGGTACATGCTACGGTGCACAAGAATGGGCACCCAAAAAATATTAGAGATCCAAAAAACAGAGACCCGACTCAGCTTCCCTTATGAAGTGCGATCAATATACTCTCCTGCAAAAGAAGGACACTGCAAATCAAGATATAGTATGAAAGGAATATAGCCAAAATAGAGACAAATAAGGAAAATACAATAGGAGATCTTGCATAGAAAATTCCATAAGTCCAACCAGCTAGGATACCAAGCAATCCCAGAAACAAGGCAGCAACTCCAAACAGCAAATAACCAGCCACAGGAAGAAGAACAGAAATAGTAATAAACCAAATAAACTTGATCACCAAGGAGCAAACCAAAATCGGAAGGCAAAGCCTGCAGTAATGATGGAGGAGATAAACAAAATCCACAAAATACCTCCAGCCAAAAGGGTACCCAAGTCCAAACTGCAATCTTGAAAGGGAATAAACATAATAACAACAATACAAGAAACATTTACTAAAACCACTGAAATCAGTGGAGAACATAACCTGATAGTTAAAACACAACACCTCCACCACAACAGCAAGACCAACCCACTGAAAAGCCCCCACTAGCTGCAGCAGAACATACCATGGCAGAGAAAATACCAAACCTCCACCATAACACTGAACCAAAGCCAAAAGCACAAAACAAC